CAGGTACACAGTGAATTCATAAATTTTATGAACGCTGTGATTATCTTGGAACTAACACTACCTAATTATACTACATTGTATTTTTGTGTGTAAAATTCTTTAATTTGTTATACGTAACCATTTACAATAATCCACAACTTTTGTAATTCTGATCAAGTATTTCTTTATCGAGGGCATCTCAAAAAAAGGAAATGGCCAGGATTACCCTTGAGAGGCTCAGAGCTAAAAAATGGGGGATCTTGTGGACTGTTGGGGGCTGGGCAGGACCCCACAGTTGCTTCTGAAGGACTGGTAGGAATTATTTTTGATTATCGGAGAGGAGCTGGGGAATGCTGTCTTTGGTAAGTGTCTCTCTCAGAGCAAATCGAGTCCTTTTTTAATAAATGGACAGCCATCCTATCCTAGTCCCAACCCCCTCTGAGAGGAAAGCCCGTTCCTGTGACGTGGGTGATTAGCAGATCACCACCACCTACACTGTTGCAGCCCTGCAGGTCCCCAGCTCAGAGTGGAGTGGGAGGGAGTATTGTGTGTGTGTGTGTGTGTGTGTGTGTGTGTGTGTGTGTGTGGTGCTGGGATTGCACCCCACTGGGGCAGAGTCAGGAGGGTCAGCGTCTTCCTGCCCTAGAAGGGCCACCCCTCCTGATTTTTGTTAAATGCTTCCCCGGCTCCCCCTGAGCCGCAGTTCCTCCTGTTCTTCTGTCACCCACACTATGTGGGCAAAAAGTCATGTTGATTCCACCCCTGAGGTGCCTTTCAGATCCTTTAAAAAAAAAATTTTAACCCATGTGTAATATGGCTTGTTATTTACTGTTCAAATCTCTTTGCAAATAACACGTATCTGCTCTAAGTTGCTTACTTGTAGCAGATTCATTTAATCCTCACAAAAAGTCTGAGGAATTGTTAGCCTGGATTTACAGATGAGTAAATGGAGGCACAGGGAGATTGCATGGGCTGCCTTAATGTCACAAGCTAGGAAGCAGCAGAGCTGCGATGTGAACCAGACTACGTGGCTACAGAGCGTGGACCCTCAACTACTCACCCCTCACTGTCGCTCCGAGGGCCTGTCGCTGCCTTAGGCTCAGCTCCATGCCTGCTGTCTAAGTTGCTGCACGTGGCAGTCCTATTATTTGAAAGTCAGAGGTTGTGTGATATAAATACATCAATCAGTTCTCACTTAAAGTATATCTTGAAATATTGTAACCATCCAGTTCAAAAAACGTCAAAAATTCCGTAGTTTCCCAGCTGGCAGACCCAGGGAATTGTGAGATGTGCTAACTCTCTCCACAGCTTAGCGGCACCAGGTGAGCTGATAAATGGACAACCTCGACCCTTTGTCAGTCCTTGTGGGCATCCCAGTATTGCTGCCATGCTTTGGAAATTCAGGGAGTGATTCTGTTATTCGTGCCCGCTCATGCTTTCGGGCACTGTTAGAATTGAAACTCTTTATACCCTGTTGCAACGGCACCCCAGCGCTGGTTAAGCGGTGGAGACTGCAGTGGTGATCCAGAAGTGGAGCTGACATCAGAAGCTTTAGGCCAGAGGGGAGGGGTGCTAAAATGCCACAAAAAAGCCTGAGCAGCCACCATGACACAGCTGCTGCCGATGTAGGAGCAAGCCCTCTGCACAATTTTGGATAATGCTGAGGAAATGAAAAGCAGCATTAAAGCCAAAACTCTGCTTTTGTGGTTATACATTTATGCACAATATGAAACATTTCTCCCACTTTCCAGGTATTTCTTTGGAGAAGATTAGTCTCATATGAAGTGAATTTTGTGTTAAATGAGACCGTCCTGTGCTAAGCACCTAACTGGTATTCCTCTCTATCTCTTCTCACTAATGAGAATCGCTGCCAGATTAAATCTGCTCAGAGGCTGACTGTCACTCTCCTGCTCATAAACCTCCTGTGCTCCCCACTGCCCACTAAACCGAGTCCTGGTATCCAGTCAGAGGGGGCCGAATCTCCCCGTGGGACCAGAGGCTCCGGAGGTGGGGCTGCACTTCCACACTACACGCGTGCTCATGCGCACAGGGCCATGCCTTTGAGTCCTCCATGGGGACTTAACTATCCTGCACCATAGTGCATTTAGCACCTCTCCCCTCTGGTCTAAAGCTTCTGATGTCAGCTCCACTTCTGGATCACCATTGCAGTCTCCACCACTTAACCAATGCTGGGGTGCCTTTGCAACAGGGTATAAAGAGTTTCAATTCTAACAGTGCCTGATAGCATGAGTGGGCACTGAGTGGGTGAGGCATGTATGTTTTGGAAGTGGGGGTCTGGTTAGGGTCCCAATACCTGCGATGAAGGGGGAACTCATGGTGTTCCAAACATTCCTGGATGCCCAACAAGTGTGGCACTCAACCAGTGCCTGGCACTTAACAGGCCTTCACTAAATATTTGTGTAATGAATGAACGGTTTTTATAAGTATTTCTACCTTCAAGTTTTCTAACTTCAGGGACAGAGACCAGGGCCGCAAAGGGGCAGAAGTCTCCAAAGATCTTAGGCATTCTGTTTTTCATTTCCTTGGTCTAGCCTAGGGAAATGATCTCTAGAATAAAATTCATTTCTTACCTTTCGGTAAGGCAGGGTTTCTCAGCTTTGTCACTACTGATACTGTGGGGGCTGTCCTGTGCACTGTAGGATGTTTAGCAGCATCCCAGTAGATGCCAGTAGTGCCCTGCACCCAAGTCGTGAGATCAAATACAAATATGTCTCCAGTCACTGCCAAATGCCCCTGCAGCTTGGGGGTGGGGAGTGGGCATTGAATTCCCCTAGTTGAGCACCCTGGTCTAGGGCAGCAGTCCTCAACTCCAGTTGTGCATTAGAATCAGCTGGGGAGCTTTAAAAAACTAGTGAAGCTTGGTATTTTGAGACATTCAGATGTAATTGGTTCTGGAGAGTGGCCTGTGTAGAGGGAATTTTGAAGGCTCCCCA